CCTTTCCTGTCCCCGGACCAGGATGCAAGTGGCTTCATGAGTTCTGTGGTGAGAAAGGCTCGTCTCAACCCGCTGCCTCCTGTCGGGCCCTTATTCGCTGCCAGTAACAACTCAACAAACTCTTTAGGTACTTGTTGCCAAGCAACTGTCCGCATGACAACATTTTCTAGATTTTATCCTGTTATACAGCACACTTTTTAATGCGCGTTTGGTTGTTTTAAAATAAATTTTTTGCAAGTTTTTGGAGCTACTACACCTGTACAGTTTGACTGTTTTACAGACCTACAGGCTAGCAGGGAAATTTTATATAGTTAGCCAGGAATATTCTATAGAGTTATCATTTAACATTTAAAGTGCTCTCTGAGAGGAAGCAACACAAAGCCAATGAGCAGAAAACCGAAGAGCAGGTACTCATAAACAGTTCTTGAATATGTCAACCAGATGATTTAGTTCTGGAAAACATCTGGCAGAGGGCCCAGCGCTTTTGGGTTTCTGTGGTTTGGTGCAGAGCCTGTCGGGCCTTCTCGCAGTCTCGTGTTCAGTTAAGAGATAAATTAGGGCACAAACTAGCTGCTGCCAGATGAATAAAATCGCATATTACAGTGGTGACTGTTGACTACTTTGTCCTGCTGTTCAGGCGAGGCGACAGTCTGCCAACACCCAGAGCTCTGCCACTCTCACTCTGCCTGGTTGTCTCTGACGACAAAGGCATCGACTACTCCGCCTTACAGCCTCAAGGACCAGAACTGCACAGGTCACATAGACAGCGAACCCACATGGTGACTTTCAGCTTCAAACGCAAGCAACTCCTGGCGGGCCGGAGGTTATGGTGGTACTGTCCTCCCCGCAGAAAGGGCCAAACAAAACTGTAAACCAACCTTTGGTTCAATACAGGGAGGACATTATTCCACTGTATTTTTTTATTTATGAGGCAGACAAAGACACTTTGAATTACCTGCTGGATGAGTACAAGACTTTTATCTCTGTATCCAGGATTGTAAACATCGCTTGTGATTTCAAATGAAGCTGAAAACATGTCTGTTGTTCCTGTCTCAGATCTACGAAAAACAACAGCCCAAGTCCTCTAGCAAGAACACCTGTCATGATCGGCCCGAACCCCCGCCTCCGGCAATCCATTCACGCCGCCAACGACCCCAGGTAGCGATCGAACTTCTCCTGCCTCCTAATGCCATGCCAAGACAGCTCAAGAGTGTGTTCCCTCAAGATCAAACGCAGGTGTGTTGTGTGTGTGGGGGGACAGACAGCTACAGACAGACAGACAGCTACAGACAGACAAGGCTCACTATCACATGAAGGACAAATGACTATTTGTGTTTGTGATGTACCTTTTACTGGACAGAGGAAAAATCCAAAATACTCCACTGGTCCAGGAACAGTGAAACATTTTTAATGAACTAACTGCTTTTTTTTATCTACTTCCTTCTGCTTTTATTCCACTGAATTTATTTGACAGCTATAGCTACCTTTTCAGGTAAAAATGACAAATATAAAACACGTGATTATGATTATATAGATATAGATTCAGTACAAAGGTATGTGTATAATAGCTCTCTAGAGCAGCAGACACCAAAGTGCTTCACAAAAATAAAACAGAGCACTAGTTATATAAAAGAAGATAAAATGTCTTAAACATTTAAATTGAACATTGAAATGCATCAGTGATAATTATTCATTCTGCACAGTTTACCATCTGTACCTTTTGTTGATCATACTGCAGTATTTACACAGCAGTCATTTATTATTGGGTGGCACTTAACTCCTTCCACAGTTTTCATCGTCCAAAAACGTCATTCAAACGTCAAAATATTCAGCTCATTCAGGAATCGGGTTACTATTACTTTTCTCTTTCATACTTTTCAAAACATTCCAGGTTCATTCCCCATTCATCCTTATGGACGCAATGTTCGAAATTCAACAAGAAACCTTCAAACCCACTGATCTTTAACCTCTTCCCACACATTAATGCATTACCAAAGAAACTCACAGAATGACTCACAACAATTGGACTTCCTATTATCACCGGTGGCAACCTTTCATTGGGGTTGGGAGACACACAGCTGATTGAGATGAGCTAATCAGGGCAGACAAGTATTTTTCAAGCTCTTAAACTCCTAATTAGTCTTTCTCACTTTTCCAGCTACAATATTTCTTCAGCTTCCTCAATACGATACAAATTTGAACAGCCAATTTCTTCACGAACTGCCTTCCCTAGTTCCTTGTTGTTTCTTATGTAAACATGAAAACATTGAAGTGAAATGACGCTCTTACAGCAGTTGGCGTTTGACCTCCAGTTCTCCACTGTCGCATGTAACACTTTCAGGCGGCAGGACTCGGCGTAAGCCTCCAAAAACTGGCACTTGTTGAGGCCATCCACTGCTGGATATTGGCACAGAGTGTTTGTGCAGGCGGTTACGAAGGGCTCGGGGTCAGAGTGGTTGTGGCAAACAGTGAAGGGGGCCTGCTTTATGAGATTGCAGCTGGGAGGAAGAATGACAGTCAATTACCAGGTTTTTGAACAGTATCGTGTAGGACTGTATGATAAAGATGACTCGTTCCTGTTCTGAAGATGATAGGAAGGTTTTGATTGGTCAGTTCTTACTATTCAGTTGTGCGGGTGCAGTTGATCGTGCTGTCAGCGGTTTCGTTGTACAGAGTCTCGCAGCTAGGAGGCGACAAACAGCACAGGACAGTCAATTAGAAACCAATGCCGCATTAATAAACAGGTCATATCAGTTTGGTTGAGACTGAGTTTTACCCGACTTCACTGTAATTAGAGGACTTGGCTGCACTCAGGGTGAAGTTCTGGCTGGAATCAGCGGGGTTGCCACACAAGCCCTCCATAGCTCCAAAATATCCTGGTCAATGTCAGGAGGCAATTAAAGACAAATCAAAGAACTTCCATCAGTAAGCCCAGCTGTCACTCTTCAACATCAACAACTTTGAAATGACACAGATATTTTGTCCAGATAGGATTTCTGTACCTGTCACGTGTGCAGTGTTGCCATCAAAAAAGACTGTGGCGTTGACGGAAGGAATCTTGGCAGTAACTCCAGTCTGGTTCTTCGAGAGCTCCACCCCGTGAACCACCTGACCCGTGGCGTTGAGCGTTAGCGTTTGTTGATCAACCTACATCACAGCAGATAGGCAACATGAGGGAAACACTGGCTGAAATGGCACAAATACACACCAACATGTGCTTTGCATGGGTGCTTGTTCCAACTTAAAGAAGGATTTTTCAATCTTTAGTTTAGGTAACACCAGCACATTTGAACTCAGATTGTCTCCTCTTATCACTCACAGCGAGAACAACACTTTCAAAAGTGTTTACTGGCAGAACGACGAAACAAAGAGCATGCTGAAAAAGTAACGTATGACAGAAGTGACGAATGAGAACATTAGTCAAAATAATCTCAATGTTCCTGTTGCACCAACGTTCATTAGACGCAGCTATCCATCCATCCCGGGTTAAAACCTCAAATAGCACCGCATCGTAATTCTGTGCAACTATTTTATTACACATGAGTAAATAGGATCACATTATATTGTGATATTGTCTTGAATTACATCAACACAACACTAACTTCCTGGCATGTAATGATCATCAGTGACTGATCAAACAAAGAGGATGGGAGGAGGATTTATGAGTCCATAAATACGCTGTTAGTCTTTGGATAGATTGTGGCAGCTTACCCAGACTCTTCCACCTTGCTCCAGATAGATTTTGACACTTGACCCATTCAGCGACAATATCAAGTGGTCCAAAAACGCCACATCTTGGCGGCGTCGCTCACGGAAACCCGCCAGTAGGTTGAAGTCTGAGCTTCCTTGAGGCTTCATCAGACTGTATACGCAGCGATCAGGGACAGAGTGGTCTCTGCTGGAGAAATCGATGATGCTGGAGGCAGTCACAGTGCACACGTCAGAGACTCTTTTGCATCTGATGGAGAAGGAAAGGGATAGATATTCTGTCTTATTATTTCTGAGAGAAGATGACATTTTCAGTTACTATAACTTTGAGGAAAATGAATCCTCACTAGAGTGACAGGACGATGTGTATTAACTCAACTTAAAGCAGTGGGCAGTGCTATTGTGACAAAGACAAATACAAACCTAACCACAGATACCATACAAAGGATCTGAAAAATCCCTCAGTGACCTTAGATTATTATTCTTATTCTAATTATTATTAATGGTGTAAAAGACATCTTTGTTGTGAAAAAGAGCAAAAAAAAATCAATATACTATATACAGTTAGTCAATTAATCAATAAGGTGATTGACAATGAATTGGTTCCCTCTTCTTCTGGCTACATTAGCGGCTACTAGCATAAAACACCTGACTCTCCAAAAGAACGGTCAGCAGTCGAGTTGCATTGTGGGAAATGTAGTCAGCAGGTTTAGAAGGATGAAATCATATTTACGTGTTGTTGCCGATGCAAATCTCCTTGTTTCCACATGTACTGACACTGACTCCAGATGATGTATACGAACAGACCAATTGGGAGCAGGTTTCTGAGCTGTTGTACATTATTTTTCCAGTCTTAAAAGTGGTGTCTGGGAGGTGATAGGAGGTTTATGAAATTAATTTAACATTAAACTGGTGTACAAAACGTAAAGGAGAGGAAATAACTATAGATCAGATGGAAATAACCTAATAATCTAAATTGCTTACTTTGGTCTCTGCAGCCGCTTATGTCCAAGTACACTGAAGTTCTATCCTTCAGCACCGAGTCCACAGTGGAGTTATTGACCGTCGTATTCACAGACTAGAGAAGGAATGGACAAAATTCAAGGTTAATAATGTAATACTGTACTAACATTGAGTGACTTGAGTTCCCCTTTTTACTCATGTATAAATATTTTTCTCCAGTTTCAGGCCCGAACATGAATCAGAATCAGATTTGTACTGTTCATCTTATGTGGACATAAATACCCTAAAAATAGAAGCTGAATGTCATTGTCACCATTTAAAATACAGTGTGGAGGACTACAGAGCCAATACGACATAAATGTGTCACTGCATTACTGTTACTTCACTGCAGTGTTTATGAGCAATGAGGAACTGTTTCAAACTAAAGTTTTATGTTGTTAATGGTCTGTCAGGATGCCCCAGTTTGTAGCTGTCATATATTACCATTACATGCTCATTTCACCTGGTGCCATGTGTTCTTAACACGTTGTTTTGTATGTCGAAACACTGGACAGAATCTATGGAGGACTAAAGGTGCCAAAATCAAATAAATAAATACACCATTAAATAATTACTTAAATGTGTCATTATTTAATGTATTAAAATTGGAATTAAATACATAAATGTGTTATTAAATGTCTGATTAGACATTATATATCATACATATATAATTATTTCACTATTTAATTCATTATTTCATGGTCCTGTGTTGCAGTGCTTCATGAATTACTTTAATCTGTCAAACTCGCCCATCAAAGTCAGTGGGGGGGCTAACGCTGATCTAGTCTGATCCATTGCTTTGGTCTGAAGTAGAGTGCCTGGATAGAGACGATGGAGGATCTTCATGAACTTTCTAGAGCAGAGGTCACTAACAGGCGGACCGCGGTCCGAGTCCGGACCCAGACGCAGAATCAATTCATTATTGAGGGATTGTAACTTGTGATGGGCGCTTCTGTTTTAACCAGCACACCTTTTTCTAGTCTTTACAGTATTTGTTCAGCAGATCAGGAAGCTTACAGACCAATTGCATGTGAGTTAAGCCATCCCACGTGATGCTGCTCAGCCAATCAAATCTGTGTAAACAACAGCGCGACTCTGAATACAGAGATGAGAGCGATGAGAGGCGAGTGACAGATGGAAAGAGAAGTTAGAGATACATGGAGAGGAAACGGAGAGATGAGGAGCGCGAGACAACAGAAGATTTATGGTGCTCTCGAAGAAGAGAAAAGTGGATAGAAAATAGAGCTTTTAACCCAGAATGGACAGATTCATTCATATTCATTCTTCCCACTGGGAGCACATAACCAGTGTGTCTCATATGTTCAGAGACCGTGGCGCTGAGTGCCAACTGAAACGCCACTATGAGACAAAACACAAAGTTTTCATCAAATCTGAACTAAGGTCAGAGAAAATAAGCAGTCTCAGCTACCTATATGATCAATCAACCAGTATCCTGACCCATTCATTCATTGACTAACTGCAGAACTGTTCAATTGTAAAGATCTGTTGATATTCATTTATTATAACATTTGTTGAGACTGTTAATGAAGATATGAAACAGTTAAAGAAAAAGGGAAACTCAAGCTGCTGCTACACTTTATTTTATTTTTCTAAAGTTAAATACTTTATTTTATTTTTCTAAATTAATATTATTTAGTTTTTCTAAAGTTAAACACTTTATTTTGTTTTTCTAAAGTTAAATACTTTATTTTATTTTTCTAAAATTAAACACTTTAAGATGTACAATTTTTCAAAGGCTTTTTCATCTATTTTTTCTATTGTATTTTTAAATGCAGCCCTTCTTTTACCTAATGAGAGAAGAACATTATATATATATAGTTCAATGATAAGTGACAATAAATATATATCTTAAATTGTGCTTTTGTGCATTTAACAGTCAGTTGCAGACGTTGATACAACTACGAAGCTACTTCAATATGTTCCAGGGTAACCAATCAGGCGTTAGGATCCGCCTACCAACTTTGATGGGCGAGTTTGACAGATAAAATTAATTCATGAAGCACTGCAACGCAGGACCATGAAATAATTAAATAAATACTGAAATAACTGTATATGTTTTTTACATAAAATGAATCGGTATTTTAATGAGCTAATGACACATTTAATAACACATTTATGTATTTAATTCCAATTTTAATTAATTAATGACACATTTAAGTAATTATTTAATGGTGTATTTATTTATTTAATTGTGGCACTTTTAGTCCTCCATAGCACACAGCTATCTGTTGTCAGAAATGTTTGAGGGTTCTTGTTAAAGGACCTTCTGGGCTCATTTTTAGGAACATTGGATGCTTGGGTCACACAGTGAGTCCGACTGTTAGTAATACATGAGAGGAACCAACTGGGTCTACTCTCAGGGACCAGATTCTATAAAATCCAGTGGTGAACTTCAGGCTGAAAGTCTGAAATCACATCCTTCATTTGGTTTAAGGACAAAAGTAGCCACAGTAACAGACTCGGGCTAATCTCTGAGACCAAACGTCCATATGCCTTAGATATACTTACAATAATAGGGAGGGTATAGTCTACAGGAACTAAACCCAGAGCTGCTTGGGGTCCAACATTGTACAACCTCACTTCCATCTGAAAGCATAAACAGAAAAGATACAAACAAATATTAGGAAATGGATTCTGAAATATTTTACAAATAAACTTTGCCAAACAATGTCAGTACAAACAGTAAACCAATCACAATCATATTAATGATGATGACTTACGATGGTTGATGCTTATCAGACCACCCATTCGATATGTAAATATCATGATCGGGCTTCCATTTTGAGCGCTGTTGAAACAAATTGGCCATACATAATTGGTTGAGTGTCTGGTCCACCTGGCAGAGGAAAAAAAACCACACATGAATGACTCTGAAGTGAATTCAGGTCCGTGGGGACATCCAAACATTTTCCTCATTGTGGTGTCAAACGGTTCAGTCCAACAGGTCCTCGTACATAAACTACAAATGAGAGTGTTTCTGACCCGTATGAGCAGTTCTGCATT